TCACATTGCATTTTTCACACTATTTTATGCCCGCACATACGGTTGGGTTGTTTCCGCTAATAGATCCTGGTTTTTTATGTTGTTCGAAGCATAATTGTCCGTGGAATTCTCGATTACATTCGTTACACATTACTTTCTCAACGATTGTAGGATCACAAGGTGGATGTTTTAAACACCTGTCACATGTTTTATCACAAACATGTCCTCGAGTACTGTAGGGCTTATTGCAATGTTCACAATAATATGCAGTGCCAAAAAAAGAAGGTAAATTTTGAATCGGCCCGTAGTGTTTGCCTTCCGCTCGTCAGTTCAGGTTCGCCATCGTAGAGTACAGGATGATCTTTTTCATTTATTTTCAGAGAATAGACTTTGATGATACATCCTTCTTGCGCCAAGTATCGTCGATATTGGGCAATTTCCTCTAAACCACAACAATCAGGAACAATGATTCCAGCCGCTCGGGTCAGACGTTTGGCCTCCTTACATGGCATTTCACCCTTGGATTGTCGAATTGACTGCCAAATTTCATGTATTTCGCCCTTGTCAGCTCTGGCCTTCAATTTCTTGGCGTGTACTCTGGCCATAACAAGTGATCGGGCTAAACACAAGCCCTCTTCATTTGAAATTTGAAGAACACATTTTTTACTCAAACCTCTTTTCATTGTTTGCACGAAAATCTCCTTGACCTGCAGGGGCTTCAGCCACATGAAGTTGTATCCAAAATGTATCGGCACAGTCGAAACCATTGGCGCTCTGTGCAATAGAGCTCACAAGATTCCACAAATCTTGAAGCTCGTATCCATTAATCGCACGTGGGCTTATCCATGCGTTGTCTCTTTGCATATTTGCAAAATTGATGATGGGTGACGCACATTCGATTCATTCCGCGGCCACCGGCTTCTATGATATTATTGTAGACATTTCGAAGAGCTTCTTCTATCTACTCGGTCAGATTGCGACCTTCAGGCACATGGTTAGTTCTAAATTCCATCACATGTGTGTCGAGTTTGAAACGAGGGACCCTTTGGCGTAACCTTCGTATTGTTCTCAGAGCTGACGGTGGACCCTCTACCTCTTCATTTCGGTCAAATTGAGCATCTGAAATTGAATTCATTTTCAATGGTAAGAATATTTTTTAGAAAAAAAACTCCATTTTTATTTTTAACATAAAATGTGAGACTCACCATTGTGTTGATCTAGTAAATCTAGATTGAAGTATTCTCAGTGAGATCCACAACGGCTTCAGGACATGACTGGAAAAATTTCGAATTGGACGGTTTTTTCTTTCGTGCATATGTCGAATTTCTTTCACGTCTTCGAACTTCTGACTCTACTAAGATGGGAGATGGTGTTTCAGGTATAAAAAATTCTGGATCCTTATCCACAGATACGGAGGATGTTGGAGTCGTTGACGTTGGTATATGCAATCGATTAGAGTGTTTTTTAGTTGTCGTGGGCTTATAAGATCCTGTGACGTGTGTCTCATTTGAACTGTTCAGTGAATGGCAACTGGGAAATTTTGATTGAGAGGATTTTTCAACAGCACCTGGTCGCATTATGGTTTCACTTAGATTTGGATCAATTGGACGTGTGATGGTAGAGGATGGAGTGCTAGAAATTCCTAGATCGTCAATCAGCGACTCGGACCATGGCAAAGGCGACTTTAGCAGACTAGATGAGGTAAATGTATTCATATTTTCAATGTCAACACGTGAATCAGGATGAGATTCGTCAAATTCATTAGTACCTCCTTGTGCTGAAGAATCAAGTGCCTCCACCGACAGCTCTGTAGTTTCCAAATCAGGATATTTGAATCGAATATGACTTGTTCCTTTGTTACGCCATTTCTCCTCAGCTCGTGCATCAGAATCATTGGGATCGGTTTGGCATGCATTAGATGTCGTGGTTTTTCCACCAATATTTTTCATTTTTGGCGGAAGAATTTTCTTACCTTGAGCTCGAAAGTCCAGAAGTTCTCCAGAAAAGTCTCTACTTCCTCCAATCAAAAAACGAAGATGGATCCTAAGAAAATTATCAACATCTTGAGGCAGTGTATATTTCTTGCACATCTCTCGCTTTATTTCACGAAATCCATGCTCACTGTAACTGCTGGTGGCATGCTCTGCATAATACGGCAGACATACTGAAGTCCACAAAGTAAATATTCTTGCATACTGCAATAGTTTGATCCCAAATTCTGGTAGACGATAAAAATTAGAACATGTACCTTTACAAATGATTTCTTCAGCTTCACTCTTCAGTTCCATGAGAAACTCAGATTGGTCTTGGGTCTCTTCGCCAAGGTCAACATCTGGAAGAATGGGTTCATTATCTGGTGGTTGGAGAATTTTCAAAAATTCATCAACGTCCAAAGGACGTTTCCTAATCATGCCCTCCAACTTCTTTCGTGCTTCTGCAGTAGTTTGGACAGGTTGGTGTATCGATTTCACATTCAAAGTAGAGTCATCAAATTCCTGAAATGAAACAACGTATGTCAACATGAAAACTTCACGAAAATCTTGAAAATTCTGACAATCCATCATGATGGCTATTAGCCGGATGTAGAAGTCTCGAATTTGACGAACAGGATGATTCTTTAAATAGTCCAATCGACACCAAATTTGAATGAAATGCGACGTATCCAGTCGAATGAATGTTGAAATGTTGTCTCTCGGGACTTGTTGGCCCTTTGATACAGCTTCAAAGCATATTGCCATATAATGTTTAACTTGTAAATTATTGAAGGCACTACAACAAGCTATTCGCAATGCCTCAGAACCATCAATAACAACTTCATTTGGTTTTTTATAATCGACTGTACGCAGCCAAGTCCTCAACCAGAATTCGATTTTCTCTGACTCTTGAGATTCTGACAACATTTGAAATACTGAGATACTAGAATTATTAAAGTGGATCATGATCGTGTATAGAAAAATGTGGGCAGACGTCTGTTTCAGTGGACGTTTTAATTTCCTCACGACAGATCCAGAAGAATCAATACTAATGACAGAATTCTTACTGTGCATGTGGCGATATTGTTTGTAAGCACTTCTCTGCTCACTTGTGCCATAGAAAGTGAAGTAAGGGGAGTGCCCAATATCTAGAATAGATCCCATGAACTCCTGATTATATTTCATTCGTTCTATTGCCTGCACCAAGTCCTCATTTTTTACTCTATTCGTACCTAATTCTTCAACCATTGCCTCTTTTTTAGCATGACGGAGCACGTCCAATGATGGTTCATTCGGTCCACCTATATCTCCTCTCCTGAGATTTTCCCGAGCCAATCGTTTCTTGACATTATTAGCATTGCCTTCTGCAATTGCAGCTTTCCCAAGCTGTCTCCGTCTTTCTCCATTAAGTGGACGTTTAATATTCTCATGAGGCTCCCCAGATGTATCGCGAGTTTTGACACGAATCAGGACTTCGTTGGTTGAAGAAGAAGGCTCATGATCGATGTACCCTAAAAAACGATTACCACATTGTTTGCTCCTACAAATTCCTTTGATCTTCACAAAATGCAATCGATTTTCAGAGATATTCACCTCTGCACGTTTGAAAACAATTGCACAGGGAAGTCTCCACTGTCTCCAAAATGCAATGCTGATTACGTTTGGCCAAACCCTAGGTTTCAAAGTATGGCTTGTACGTTTACCAGCATTTTCCAGGGGTTTTATCTGCTGCCATTCTTCGGCACTCAGTATTACATCAAACCACACTGCATCATAATCCTCTTCTGGATCAGTGTCCTGACATTCATCTTCTTGATGGTCAGAGTCGCCGCTGTCATTTTCATCTGAGTCTGCAAGTGGGATCTCTTCTGGGAGAAAATTAGTCTGTTGAAGATGTAATCTCACCCTCGCTTCTTCTACAATTCCTCTCCTGTTCTCCCTGACGTTTACTCGCTAACTCTGGGCAGACCACAAACGCTTTGTCCTTAAGGACAATATTTCCCAAATATTGTCATTGTGTGGAGGCGGTTTATTACCACTGAATTTGTTGCCGTGTTCTACGAGTAAATCTATCGCTGTCTCTCGAGGCACTTTGCAGACAGGAGGCATTTCGATGGATAAACAGAAGAAACCTGCAGCAAATGGTCCAAGAAAATTGTAAAACAAAATAACAACACGGATTCATTAACGCTGAGATCAGACATTATTGTCCCGAACAATTTTACTCACTCGAAATAAAATCTGTTAATTGCTAACAATGAAAAATATCACGGCCCTGTTAGATGGAATCTGCCAACACCAGTCATTTTTCACAAATTATCCATGGTTATAATGATCGTGATGTATCTTTGTTTCTACACATTTTCGGCGGCAATATGAAAATAACAAATGAAGTTACTATTCTCGTGTCGGATGTGACATATACCAATGCAGAACTTGAAAATTCAATGAATAGATGAATGAAATTCTAACACAACAGTGTGATTTGAGTAATTTTACTTTGGAATAGGATAATCAGAATTGTTCCATTTTCCCAATTTTCAATTTCTCCTGGGAATGGTTGTCAAATAATTTGAGTGCCCTGTAGAATATTTTTTCTGGCACTAAAATGTTGACCATTGAGAAGAATCTCAATCAGATAAACTGGTTGCGAGATATTCAAATATCCATATATATTTTCTGGAAACGAAACTATTCATATTTCACAAATTAGCTATCAGATGCTTTCTGCCGAAAAGACTTGAATCCCGGCTCGTTCCTTTTTTCATTCAGAGACCAATATTCGCAATTAAATACAATTATCAATTGTTAATGAAATTTTAATACCATCCTGATAATCTCGAAGATGAAATATGAAGCACCCGAAAATTCCCTTCTCAGAAAAACGCTTAATTGGATAAAGATTAATTTTCAATTGAAAATAGTGCATTCTTCCGCTTCTCAATGTAATCTAAGATTAAATAATCCACCGATTGCAAATGGCAAGTCGAGAGAATTTCGTTGTATTGATACCAGGGAGTTATGCCATTAATGCAATAGACATTCAAATAATTATTGTAATTTATTTTTAATGAGTCAATCTCTATCATTTTTGGATTACAAAATTTTTTAATACACCCATTATGGAAGAAAACTGAATTTGCACATGGTTATGATTTCCAAAATCCTCTGCTGGGCACAGGCACTGCGTAGAGGCTCCAATATCTGAAAACGGATTAATTCTTGTTCTTATATCCTGGATAATTTGATAAAAGGATCAAGTAATTGATTATTATATGCATAAATACTTGTGATCACTAAAGTGTAATTCTGATAGGGATGTCGTCTGATCAAAACGTTCATGTTTTCCTACTTAGATGACAGCATCTTATTGTCCCTTTTCTTAGGTCATGATGGGTATTTGACTCCACTTTGGCTCACTAGTAAAAAAAGCAAACAACATGTTTGTGTTAAAAAAATACTCTTAATAATTGCTTGTGTCGTTGGTGTTCGTGTTTATTCTCACTAAATTAATTATCATCCTACTTTTTCAAGTTATAAACTTCGTATCTTTCCTTCAGATAATTTTTTTATTGAAGAAAACCAGAACGAAACTTGATAAGTACTGTGAAAAAAAGTTTTTTTTTATAGAACATAAAAAAGTCAATAAATTGAATATTTCATGATTAATAATCACTTTTGGTAATTATTTAGAGGCAAAGGCACACTCTTAGGAATAATTCTCATGCTTAACAACTCACTCAAATTTCATCATTCTAACATATCAGGAAATAGCAACGGAATTGTGAAATGAACATTTTTTGTTCAATTAAGTTATGAATTAATGAACGAAATGGATATCTTGAACAACGTAGTTTTGACTACAAACAAAAAAAAATTAATAAAATAAAAAGATGAGGACGAAAATAACTCGCTGGAAATTATTGTAAATGATTATCTCGATAATTTAACGAAAACCTTAAAATTAAAGTGACTTTTCTCATTCTAGGTGATTAATTTCTCAATTTTTATGTTTATCGTCCAAAAAATATGAAGAAATAAACATCAAATAGTTTGAAAAATAAATAGATAAATTATTGAACGAAATAAATATCTTAATCAATAAAATTATTCATAAAACCAAAAAAAATAAGGAAAATACGAGGATGGGGACAAAAATGATTTGATGAGAATTTTGCAGATGTTCATCAAAATTATTCAATCCAATTAATGAAAATTTTGAAGTGATTCATTCCATTCTTTCCAATCAATTTCTTAATTGCGAAGTTTATCATCCGAAAAATGCTTTGGAGTAAGAATGCCAAAGTTAGAAAAATGAATTGATGAACGATTGAACGAAATAAACATTCCAGTTCATAAAAATCACGAATTACACTGGTAAAATAGGAGAATAGATCAATAACGAAAATTCCAAATATTT